CGAGGGGAGCACTCAGGACCCAGCCCAGGCCCTAGGAAGTCACAGGGCCAGGCTGGGATCCCACTCCAGAGCCATCATCCAGCCCCAGCCCTCACCTTGCGGATGCTGCCTCCAGATTTTTTCACCATCAGCTCATCCACCATGGACTGCAAGCAGATACTCAGCATGATGGCCTGCAAGGGAGAAGTGTCAAGGGGCTCTGTGCACCCCACAGCCCTCCCACACCCTGTGCAGGGCCCAGCCCTTCCCCTGACAGCCACCCCCAGCCCGCCATGCAGGCAGCTCTACCTGTGGGCTGGTGATGGTGACCCACTGCAGCCGGTCCTTGCTCATCAGGTACTCAAAAGCCAGCTCCAGCTTCACCTCGGACTTCCCTGGGCTGCTCCCCGAAGGGCCATTGTTCATAGGCACCTGCACGGACACACACCAAGGCTGGGAGCCTCCAGAGGGCAAGGAGCAGCTCCCCAGACACCAGTGCAGCACCGAGCCAAGCGTGGGACACCTGCCCAGTGCCCACCAGTCCTCTGCCACTGTCAGGTCCCCTCCAGCACACCAATGATCCCCTCAGCCCCAAGGCATGACTCAGACCCTCTCCAGGCCTGCTGGGCCAGAGGCTGGAGTCAGAGCCAGCACCTTTCCTAGGAAGAGGTGCCCCCCAGCGCCCTCCCTGCTCCCCAGGCGTCACTCACCGAGGATGTGACCCGCCAGCACCGCATGCGAGTGACCTTGAAGCTGCCCTCCTTGATCTGCTCGTTGGGCAGCCGCACCTGGAAGTTGAGCTCGTTGTTGCCGGCGCTGACCACGACGTGGCAGCCCTTCTCGGGGAAATCCGTGACACAGGGGTCGAACTTGAGATAGCCGTAGTACTTGAGGGTCTGCGCCAGGCGGATGAACTGCGGGCAGGGCAGGGGTGCTCAGCAACAGGGCACCAACCCAGTACCACACAGGAGAGAGGCTGGTGCAGAGCCAGAGCTGCCCCGGTCGTGGTGGCACTGTTCCCTTTCCTACCTCCTTCTTGGAGACCTTCTCCTGCAGGGACTTCAGCTGCCGGTGCTGCTCCTTGTTGACAAGGATCCACCCGTGTTCGATGTCTGACACCGTCTGCAGGCAGCAGAGGCTGGTGAGCGCCTGGGACCGGAGCCCCCCAGCCCCTGCACAGTGTCTGTCCTCACCTGGCTGTGCCACACCAACCCTCACCTGTGCATACAGCAAGTTCAGCCCCACACGGTGCTCCATCACATCGTCGTCATAGGCCGAGTCCCAGTAGCTGGAAGGGAAACACAGGGGTTAGCCTGCTCCAGCAGTGAGGAGAAAATCACCCTCCTGTGGGCTGGTAGCCATCAGTCACCGTGCCCTGCTCCCCATCTAAACCAGCTGCCATGGGAAGGCAGGAATGAGCTGAGCACAGCAGGGCAGCTCCTGCTCCAGTGTCATGGTCAGGGATGCTCAGGTGCGTTCCTGGGGGCCAAAGCACCAGTGGGCAGCAATGGCAGCAGGCGGCTCCTGTGTGGATCCAGGAGCCCTGGGCACCACCCCAGTGCTGCCCCAGAGCCCCGCTCACCTCTTGCGCAGGATGATCTGGAACTCGGGGTTGTGCAGGCTGGTCACTGACACGTAGGGCAGCTCAAACTCCTGCAGCTTCCTCACAACTGCGGGGAAACAGCAGCTCAGCAGCCCCTCTGGGCAGCAGGAGCCCCTCGGCCCCACACCAGGGTGCCCCCAGGAGCACAGCTGTGCCCCCAGCCAGGGCAGGGCCCAAGCACACAGCCCTCACTCCAGGCAGGGGCACAGCACGTGTCCCACCCACAGCGGGCTCTACTCACAGGAGAAAGCTCCATCCTTGGTCTCCCTCACTAGGAAGAGGCTGAAGTAGCCAACCAGGTCATCTGGCAGATCCAGCTTGGAGGCCACAGCCTGGGAGGAAGAGCAGGACAGTCCCAATAGAGTCCCAGCATGGTGGCCAGACCCAGCCCATGTGCATCCTCCCAACAGCAGGAAGGCAGCACCTCTGCTGCCCTGAGCCAGGCCTGGGCTCCTGGCAACCAGGAAACAGCGAGGGGACCCCAAACACCAGTCTGGACCCAGACACACCCTGCAGCACACCCATTCCAGCTCCCAGCTCTCAGCCCCACCAGGTCAGCCCTGCTCCAGGATGGGCAGATGGCAGGGGAGGGCAGGGGGGCTACCAGGCTGAGAGAGCCCCAGCCATGTGGGAAAGCCCAGGAGGCAGCAAGAGGGGCTGGTCCCAGCCAGCAGGACAGCTGTGGCACCTCGAGGACATCCTCTGTCTGGTCCGACGTCAGGATGGTGACCTTGACCTTCTGCCCGTTGGAGAGCAGCACCTCCAGCAGCACCTCCTCCGTGGGGATCTGCTGCGTCTCCTGCACAGAGAACAGCACTGGCACCCAGCCCCTCTGGCACAGAGAAGAGCACTGGCACCCAGCCCCTCCTGCACAGAGGGACAGCACT